AATTTTGTGACTAGAATTCTGAGTTTGTACTTCACTAAAAAAACTAAATATCCATATGCATATCAGGTTTCCTTCATTCTTTTTTCTGTTTCCTGCTCCTCTTCCTCTTTCTCCTCCTTCTCCTCTTCCTCTTTTGTTATGTAACATTCCAGTTAGGAATTTCATCCAGCTGATCAGTAGAGAGTTCTGAAAACAATAATGAATGATGAGACTTTCTTTTTCTGTCCTGACACTGGCATTTTAGGTTAGCACAGTGCCTCCATAATCACTGATGACCCAAGACACTTTTGTGTTTTTGTTGTGTGATCCTTAGAGTGTATGAGAGTATGAAAGTCTCTGCATTAGCTGGGAAGAGCTGCAGGCTTACAGCCTCACAGAAAAATTTCAGGCAAAAATATAAAGGCCAAGGAAAGGAAAACTTTTCAACTGAGCTATGTTTCTAATTGATTAATTAGCTAATTAATTAGTTGTACAAACTTGCTGTGTACCCTCAGCAATCCTCTTCCTTCAACCTCTGGACTGTCAGGATTATAGGAGTGTATCACAATGCCCATGCTGAATTAGCATGTCAGAAGTGTTTCTTCAGAAGCCCCACTTGGGACCCCCCATTTGACTTGACTAATAACAATTGCATCATATGACCTTTGCAAAGAAGGTTGGGAAAATAGATTTTTTTTAGTCAGGCACACTGAAAGTCCAAATACTATCAGAGTTCTGTTAGCTCGGCAAAAGGAAACTAAAAGTTAAATAGGCAAATAGTGTTATCTGTTATATCTATGGCTTTCAAGGCCCAAGAGACAGACCAATGCCAAGTTCCTATGGTAATGTACTTCTCAAACAGGATGCCTTTTAAAGTCACTTAAACTTTACATTTCTCATCTTATCAGATTTAAACAGAGAACTCTCAAAAGAGGAAACTCATATGACTGAGAAACACTTAAATGTTCAACATCCTTAGCCATCCAGGAAACGCAAATTAAAACTACTTTGAGATTTCATCTTTCACCTATCAGAATAGAAGATCAATAAAACAAGTGACAGCTCATGTTGGTGAGAATGTGGAGCAAGGAGAACATTCATTCATTGCTGGTGGGAGTGCAAACTTATAAGGCTACTATTGAAATCACTGTGATGGTTCCTCAGGAAGATGGATGAGAATCAATCTACCTCAATATCCAGCTATACCACTCTGGCATTATATCCAAAAGACGCTTCATTCTACCACAGAGGCACTTGCTCAACCGTGTTCATTGCTGCTATTAATAATAGCCAGAAACTGGAAACAATCTAGATGTCCCTCAACAGATGGCTGGATAAAGAAAATGTGGTATGTTTACACAATGGAGTATTACTCAACTGTAAAAATAATGAAATATGCATGTAAATGGGTGGAACTAAAAAAAAATCATCCTGAATAAAGTATCTCAGACTCACAAAGACAAAGATTGTATGTATTCACTTATATGTGAATATTTCCTGTTAAGTCGATGATAGCCAAGCTACAATCCATGGAACCACAGAGGTTAAATACATAGTAAGGACTAGGAGAAGGCAGATCTTCCTAGGAAAGGGAAACAAAATAGATATTTATGGATGGATGGGGGTTGGGAGCTGGGAAGTGAGGATCAAATGGGGATGGGGAAGGGAGAAGAGGACAAGGGAAGAATATGAGGAAAGACAACTAAAATTAAGGGTCATTTGAGGGTTAGTATGGAAACCTAATGAAAGCAATCTAAAAGAAATCACCAAATAATGGGGGAGACGTCGCCTAAAGTGGCCATTTCTTGTGACCAAATGAAGCTTCCAGTACTGGGATTGGGTTACATCTAATTGAGTTGTTGACCAAAGGGCCCCATGGGGATACCCAAACAATCCAGGCTGTTTCCAAGATTACATAGGTTGCTCTCCCCAAACTGATAGAAGGCCCCATTGCTGAAGACAACTCATTGAACATGGAGAAGTCAAGCTGTTGCCTACACAGAGCCTTCACTTCTGCTTTCTAGTGTCTTTGTTTCAGGAAAGTACTCTGCACGTTACCAAAAGAGAAACATAATTACTAACCAAGCCACAAACCCTAGCACCAATATAACCAGCACTCTCTGATTGGACTGAAGGCCCACTCCATAGAATAGAACCTATATATGACAATACTATTAGAGCACACAGGGACCTAGGGTAGAACCAAATACTAATGTTCAAAAAAAAAAAAAAAAAAAAGGAAAAGGAAAGGGAAAAAAAGCAGTAAAGTGATTCCTAATGACATGACATTCTGCTACATTCATTGAGCAGTCCCTTGCTCAGCCGTCATCAGAGAAGCTTCTTCCTGCTGCAGATGAGAACAAACACAGAGACCCACAGCCAGACATTACACAGAGCAATAGACCTTGGAACACTCAGGACTAAATGGGTTTTCTCCATCAGATTCCTTCCCTCTTGGCTTATGGAACCCTGTGAAAGAGGAGGAAGAAAAGGTGTAAGAGTCAGAAAAGTGGGAATGGAGGAAACAAGGCCTTCTAAGTCAACAAGATCAAAGCACATAGGAACTCACAGAGACTATGTGCCCAGGGCCTGCATAGATCTGCACCAGGTCCTTTGCATCTATATTATGGCTTCCAGTTTAGTGTTTTTATTGGATTCCTGAGTGTGGGAAAGTAGATCTCTGATTCCTGAGCCTTCTCTTCAGCTCTTTTCCTCCTATTTTTAGTTTTGTCCAATTCCAATGTGATAGTTTTTATATTTTATTTATTTTATTATTATTCCTTAGAAGCCTGTTTGTTTTCTTATGAGAGACAAAAAGGAGTAGATCCAGGTGGGAGGGGAGGTGGGGAGAAACTGGAAGGACCAAAGAGAGGGGAAACCATAATCTGGGTATATAATATGAGAAAAACATGTATTTTCAATAAAAGAGAAAGAAAAAAGAATGCACAAGGAAGTATGACTGCCTAGAATACACCTTCTTAATTGATGCCCTTCCCTTTTATGTTTCATTTACTTGGAAAAGATTTTTCCTAGTGATTTTCCTGCCTTCTGATTTATTCAAGTCTCACCTTATCAATAAATTCTTCTCTGATATCCCAGAATTGATCTAGATTTTTCAGCATCTGAAGCTCATACAATCTTGAGACCCTCCTTACAAATACAAAGAATATTAAAAATATCAAATTAGATATTTACATATGAAAGTGAGTGTTGACTTAGAACAAAAATGACATCTGAAAACTTAAACTATTTCAAATATCACAAATTCAAAAGTATAATGAAATATTTTTTTTATTAATAACTGACCACATATACCTCTTTAATGCTTTTCTAGATGTTCCTTCTTTTATAGGTGACAATTTTGTAAAGTTTTCTATAAAGAAAAAAAGGTGTCCCATTCTGTAGCAGTAATGCCCATGCTACCACCACCCATTCACCATGTCCAAGCAAGGGGCTGTGGATCAAAAAACAGAGACAAGAAACAGTGAGTCATTAGCCTCAGCAGAATGCCAAATGCCATTTATTGCAGGAAGGAGGAGGCCTTAAATACAAGCTTAGAGCACAATGGGAGAACCCTGGAGGGCAGAAGCTAGATACAGATGTTCTACATTCTTGCATCTAAACTGTTAACGTCCAATATGCAGGACACACAAACAAGGAACCTCCGGTGTGCATTCAGGAGAAAGGAAACCGGCAGGGAATCAGCATAGGGAGGACATCTGGCCAAGGTTAGCAAGCAAGGCAACAACTACCCAAAATGGGGGGCCAGGGCCCTACACCATTCTTTCCTCTAGTATGGTTTATAAACACACTTAAATTTTAGATCAACCATAGTTGAAAAAAGTTTCAGCTTCTTAACAACTTGTAATTCATAATATTCATGTAAAATTTTAGGACTGTTGTCATATTTAAGAAAACTTCTATTACATTTTCTTAAGACTAGAAATTTCTCTCATTAGAAAATGAACAAGCTTCTAATGAGTAATAACAAAATAAGATAAAGCAAAAACTTACATATTGGAATTGGACAAAACAAAAAAACAGGAGTAAGAGAGTCCAAGACAAGGCTCAAGAATCAGAGACCCATTCTTTCTCACATCAGGAATCCCATAAAAACACTAAGGTTTTAAGGAATATCAAATTTTCTTATACTTTGATTAATGATCATAAACACCCTTTGATTGAAACATTCATTAACCCTGGTATGGTTATTGCAGTGGCATATTATATATGATTTTAGCTTATCTTTGTAAATATTTTTATGCTTTATTATCCATAAATTTGTAATAGCTAGACTATGTGAGATGGGGAGCAGATCACAAGAGAAGTCAGAGTCCAAGGAAGGCAAGGAATTGGGTTTTGGTTAATACACTGTCAGTAGAGCTGCTGTGGGAACTCAGACTCAAATGATGAGTTGGAGCCAGGTGTGGAGCCAGTGTGCTTGGGTGTGGCTCAGGGTACCCTTAAGTAAGAAATAGAAGACTTCTTAATAAAAAAAATTAAGCATATTAAAAATTAATAAAAATTATGTTAAAATTGCCATTGAGGTACCTTGAAATGTAGTTCAGTTGCTAGAATATTTGTCTAGAATGCATGGAGCCTGGAGTTTGAACCCCAGCACTGTACAAACTGGGCAAACCCTAGTACTAGGGAGGTAAAAGTGGGAAACTCAGTTGTTTAAGGTTATCTTCAGCTACATGGCGAATTCAAGGCTCTTCTGGACTACCTGAGACCCTGTCTCAGAAAATCAACTATCATAGGGGTTGGACATCCCTACCATCTAGTTCTAGAACTTGCTGGTTTGTGAAACCTTTATTGCCATGCTAGAAGCAAAAGTGATAGTGAGCTACAGAAAAATACATCACTAAACCCAAAGAAAAATACTTCTAACTTAACTGCCTCTTAGCTATGACCTAAGCATGCCTAACATCTACTCAGTGCCATCCACACAAGCCAATTGACTGAAGGAGAGCAGGAAAGACAATGACAGCAATGTGACTGACTTCAGTTACCACAGCATATTGCTTCAGCGGCACCTACACTAAAATTGGAATGATACAGAGAAAATTAGCATAGCTTCCATGCAAGAATGACGTGAAAATTTGTGGAACATTCTATATTTAAAATAAACAACATACAACATAAGTTTGCAACATTTATAAAAGCGTGTGGGAAGGGGTACAAAACAGAGTGTGGGCTCCTGAGACTTCTGCTTTGTTAGTGTCATAGTAAATCCCGGCCTGCCTGCTACCTTCTTTCTCAAAATTATGACTCCCGGAAACTCCTGGTTCTTCTTTCTGTGTTTATGTGCCTCCATATTATTTAGTATATTATAATATCATATGTTTAATTGTTTACTGTTTGCTGTCTTTTCCACTCTACCAGAATGTCAACTGTAGGATGACAAGAGATGGCTCAGCCATTATAGGTGAGGTTTACAACAAAAAAGACAAAGAGGGACCTTTTTCCCAATTAGGTTATCTCCACTGTGAGGAAAGCTACACACACACACACACACACACACACACACACACACACGTTGCATGTTTATGTATGTCTATATGATCAATAACTCAATGGCTTCATTTTCCTTAATTTTACAGTTCTTTTTTTTTTTTTTTTTACTTTTCTATTGATTTTTATTTCTTTTTTTTGTGATATATATTTTTTATTTTACAATACCATTCAGTTCTACATATCAGCCATGGGTTCCCCTATTCTCCCCCCTCCCACACCCTCCCCTTACCCCCAGCCCACCCTTCATTCCCACCTCCTCCAGGACAAGTCCTCCCCCGAGGACTGTGATCAACTTGGTAGACTCAGTCCAGAGAGGTC